TTCTGACTGTAAAAGGTAACAACAGGCGTCACTATCCTCGCCAGAAAATTTATTACAGATGTTTGTCAAATTTGCATTAATATCTGCTGGACCGAACGTTATATGGATATTGCAGCAAATCGCCGTCACCTCCCTTCTTTACGCTGCCACTAGATTTAAAGAAGCAACTGTCGTTACCGATACAAGCATTGACAAAATAGAGGTTGATTTAATGTTATATTTACTTCTATAATGATACACGGATTTGATAATACCTAATAATAACGGATAAATGTATGTACATAACACCTTCAAATCTTTTCCTTTTCTTCTGTTCCTTTCCCATTTCAATTTGGGGTCGGCCCTCCTAATAGTTTTATGCTACAACTATCTGTTGTGTGCTGTCTCTATATCGGCGTTAATGGCTTTAACTGTCGCAGATGGGTAACCCCTTCCTCTTTTCTCCTCTATATGGTCTGAAGGACGACGGACCACGTGGCCATACCATCTCCGTGGATTTTCTCTGAGCTCATCCACTATATTTGCGACTTTAAAGGTCCCCCTTATGTAATAGTTCCCAATTCAGTCTTTTCTAATAGCCCCGCAGGACTAGCGCAGCATTTTCTTTTCAGCAACATGGATCCTCTGTTCGACTGCTTTTCGTGTGAGCCAGTATTCGGGGCCGTATGTAAACACTGAACGTACTGCTTGTTTGTACCCTTCACTCTAACAGGAACTCGTGGGTCACAGAGTACACCTGTGAGCTCACGCCACTTTAACCAAGATCCGGTGATTCTGTGTTCCACGACCTTTTCGGTACTGGCTTTTGGTGCTATTGTCGACCCTGGGTACTTGAATTGCTCCACTTAATTTAAAGTGGTACCATTGATAATGGGTGAAATATGTAGGCTATCCACGCGAGTCCTCTGCTTTCTAGAGCCGCTAGCCACATATGCAGGTCTGATGACCATGGTGCAGGTTTCTGGATGTTTTTGGTGATATAATTCTTAAGCAGATTGAACATGACCGGACTAAGAGCTGACCCCTGATGGACCCCTTCCTAGCCTCAAAAGGTCCCCTAGTTCCTGCTGAGCTGATCACTCTTGTTGAAATGCCTTTTATGAGGTCTATGTATGGTTCTGGAAACTGTGCCCTCAGTGCTTCCCATATCAGTTTTCTAAGAACCCGATCAAATGCTTTCTCCAGGTCTATGAAGATAAAGTGAAGAATAAATAGCGTCAAAGTACCGAAACCTCAAGTGAAGCCACATTGGTTTGTTGTATTTTTAAGCCGTGTCAGTCTGTCTACAAGGATACCTCTCCCATATTTTCAGAGTATGAGACGTGAGTTTTATGCCTCTGTAGTTGGAGCAGGCGACAGCGTCTCCCTTGTTTGTATAAAAGGGTACAAGATTGCTGAATCTCCACATTTTCTCAACCAGACAGGTGGTTCTGGGACTGACGTTTCCTCCGGGAATTCTTTATTTCACAAACCCTTATACTATTCCTGTCATCAACTCTTTATTTTGCTGTCGGATGTCAACAAATTTCCTTTACTATCTTTAATGTACTTATTTTACTTTATGTCTTTAGTTTTACTATTTTTACATTTAGCTAGTTCAAAAATTTCATGTTCCGACTCAACATTCTCCAGGCTGGCATAGAACGCATCATTATATTCAGCGCTCGAGTCGGTCACTGTTACTTTTGCTATATTTTTAACCCTTTCGTATTCTGATCGGTCGTCCACCGTGTTCGTGTCCTGCCACCTTTTAATAGCAGTTTTCTTTGTTTTTTAGGTGCATCTTTTACGTCGCTATTCCACCAGCTAGGATATTTGTTAGTTTTTAATTTGCCTTTTAAAACTCCAAGGATTTTACTCGCAATATCGTGATATATTGAATGAATATCGTTCCATAGCGAGTCGCAAACTTTAGGTTCATCGAGAGTTTATTGAAGGTTGGTTGATGAATTTATGGTCGGCAGATTCGTTAAGTTGGTACCACTTAATGCGTGGTTCACCTTTGCGCTTTTCCGCAGAAGCAGACCACCAGGAGTCTGTATTTGGTTGTTGAAGGTTCAACCGGGAATGACCTTGCAGTCTTTAAAATTCTTAAGAATGGAACGGCTACAAAGAATCTAATCGACTTGGCTGAATCTTCCGCCACTTTTTTTTGTGATCAAATGCTCTTCTTTCTTCTAAAAATCAATGTTAGCCGTAGACATCAAACTTATCGACGAAGTCCAATATTTCTTCGTTTTGGCCCCTCGACTCAACATGTCCGTTCAGATCTCCTACGACTATTGTCCGTTTTTCTACTGAGAGTGATTCCATCAGATTTCTTAGATCATCCCAATAATACAGCTGCTTTTCCTTATTCTTGCAACCTATTTGACGTGCATACACAGATGTAATGTTGTGAGTCAGTTGATTATCGAGAACTAGCACACATATTACTCTGTCGCTAAAGTGGAACGTTTAATGATACTTTGTTTGAGTTGTTCGTCTAAAATAATACCTATCCCATTCCTGGGTGGAGGTTCCATAATAGAGGAGTTGATGGTTGTTACCGATATCTGGAGCCTTAGCGCCCTTCCACTTAGTTTATTGGATGCAGCATATATTAATCTTACGTCTATGTAGGATTTCAAGCAATTCTCGACAATGTCTAGTCAGGGATCCAATCTTCTAGTTGGCTATGCGCAGAAAGATTGCGCAGCGTCTATCGTCGCTCACAGGGGACACCTTAGTATTTTTCGCATATCCTGACCTCTAATCGTCGCTTCAGAAGGGCGCCCTAGCATTTACATTCTTTTCCTTGTTTGGTAACAGTTGATTTTTAAGGCTGGTTGCTACTTGACATCAAGACTGTCACCATCCTGAATGTGCGAGCGCCGACGTTGACCCATTACAGTTTCATCCTAAAACTTTTGGGTGTTTCATTCCCATCAGCCAGTAATAATGCTGGCGGGCAGTCTCTCCGGACTACGCCGGAAGGTAGGGCGGAAGGCCCTCTTCAGCCTGCTTTCAGGAATCGTGGGAATGGGTGGTGGTGGTTCGGGTGAGAAAGATGAGACGGACGAAATGAAGACAGAAGAGAATGAATGATTTTCTGTAGAATATTACTGCCTCAGCATTTGCCTAGGTAATCCAAGGAAACCACAGAAAAACTTGGACCAAGGCAGACGGACCCGGAATCGAACCGGCGTCCTCCCGAATGCTAAGCAATGGTCTAAACCTCTAGACCATACCGCTCGGTGAGTTTCATCCACCGAACAGGCGCTCTTCTGCGTGCCCCATCCAAGACCCGCCGCACCGCCCATGATCTCGGCTCCATATACGGAGAAGCCCGGGACAGGGGTTTCAATATGAAATGAAGCGATAATAAGTACTTCGTTTCAGAAGAGTTATTAGTTTAATGTTTATATGAAAAAGAAGCTGATTAGCATGTGTAATTCTATAATATACAGTATATATGATCAGTAGGTACTTCGGAAAAATTAAAAGAGAAGAAGGTACATGAAAAAGAACTAGAATAAGCCATATTGCACTACCCAGTGATATATTAATTATATTATTAACATGAGGGTAACGATCCTACCGAAAGCCCCACCTCTCTTGCAATGATGGCCAGCACTACTTAATGTAATTGTGTAACGAGGCGTCGATACATGCTGTGGGGAAAACCCCCCACGTGAACATGGGAAAAACTGTCAGTTGTTTAATACAGCAACAGTAACGGTATACAATTAGCAAAAGTAATGGAGGTACATCCTTGTAGATGTGGTGTGTCGAACTCGGTCATAATTCATAATAGTAAGAATACAGGGAATTTTCCCTTAAAATCCTCACATTCCTTTAATAACTCGGACACTCAAACTGGGATTGTTTTTTTATTAATCGCAAAAATTTCGTCAGTACCCATCTGTTGTCTTTGCTGGCTTTTGTCCCTTCGGTGTCTCCTGTGTTCAGTGCCAGTTCATTCTCATTCCACCGTCCATATATGGCTACCATGTCCGCATAATCTGCGTGCGAATGCACTGTTTTTTGCTTGATAATTTCAAAATAAACTTATTTTTGTATTTTGTGTTAATAGCACTATCATTTCTAATCGAACGGTAACTACGGACTGCAGACTATACTAATCGTCATCGCGTACAATTGGCCCGTCTGCGTACCAGCTGCTGCGAAGGTTACAAGTGGGCATGTGGTTCGCCACTTGACGCTTGCGATAACGAAGGACAATAAGATAACACGACTGGCAACATGACGGCTCATTAACTACTACTTTTTGTGCATAGGCTTTACACCTCCCACGTTGTTTCGGTATCACGCAATGCGCTCGTTAGTGCATGCGCTATCTTTTAAGTACTCCGGAATACTAATCAAGCGTAGTGTATACAGCCGTCAAGCTAGCATAACTAAAAAATGAATTTCGAAAATGTGGAAATGAAGTGCCTTTTAGGGGCTAATTTGAAGCGAAGACAAATGGACGAGCTCAAAAAAATTCTTTAATAATTTTTTACTTCAAATCATAGTAACCTAAACCTAGGTTACGATTAGTTTAGGTTGTTGCCCTGATTTAAAATTTAATCTTTTGTCTTTAATTTTGTCTTTGACCCCAAATTTGGCCACTTTGTCATACGTGTGACTGGGACATGGGCATACTTATGGAACTATCAAACTATCATTGACTGTGATGTAAAAGGACCACATTCACATCTAAGGGGAGGTCCACTAATGCTGTAGCATTCAAAAATATTGTAATGAAAGTGATTTTGAATTATTTCTAGTACATTTAATCGCTCACTCATCAAATTGATCAATTGGTATTATCACAGCAAATCTATAAACTACATACATACATGTGTGGTAAAGGTTATAAATTTTCGTATTTCAAATACGCACTTAATTACTTTCAGATCACCTTCTGGACATGACATACAATGTGATTATGTTCCTGTTCTCTATACATTTAGAGTTCCAGTTTCAGCCCGAAATGTGATTCCCATTGCGGAAATAAAGAGTCAATATGTAAAATGTCCACCATTTTATTTACAATTAGACCATACGTTGGGTGTAATATGGAGTCTATATTCAAAGACTGCAGTCGACGATATGTCCTTAGGTAAGTAGATACATACTATGTGGATACTTAATAGCATTGTTCAAAAAAGAGATAGACAGGCAGGCGCTGAGGTAGATAATGTTTTATTTCATTTCAAAAGTCACATGAGTTGTCCAATATAGAGGAATTTTTCATAACGCTTAATATAAATGATATTGAAAAATAAGGTCGTCAGCCCTGGAAAAGCAAGATTGCACGGACCATGGGCAAAAAGCCCGGAAGAAAATAGCATCGATATTTTTTATTGACTTCCATAGAGTCCTCTGTTCTCCTATTCTTTTTAATACCTCTTCATTTCTAACCTTTTCTACCCACGTTATCCTCATCATTCGCCTATAACACCACATTTCGAAAGCTTCTAACCTTTTCTTTTCCACCGCGCCCACTGCCCATGTTTCACACCCGTACAACGCCGCGCTCCAAACATCATCAGTCCTAAGACTGGTTGATACGTGTTCTACCAGTCTTAGGACTGATGACTCTTTCCTATCCTGAGCTAAACTTCGCATTTACCTAACACTAAAACAACCAACATCCTTAACCATTTGCGAACAGTAATCTAATCTAGGTCTACCTCTACCCCTCCTAACTCTTGTTTCTGCCTCTAATATGTCTCTAACTAGACCTTCATGCTTGAGAAGGTGTCCTACCAACCTATCTCGCCTATTTCTTATTGACATCCATAGAATCCTCTCTTCTATTGTTTCTATTACCTCTTCATTTTTAACCTTTTCTACCCACGTTATCCTCATCATTCGCCTATAACACCACATTTCGAAAGCTTCTAAGCTTTTCTTTTCCACCGCGCCCACTGTCTATATTTCACACCCGTACAACGCCGCGCTCCAAACATACACCTTTAACAATCTCTTTCAAATTTCTAAATTATTCGTTCGCGAGCATAGAAGTGACTTTTATTAAAGGCGACACGACCCTGCGCTATCCTCTGCTTTATATCCCTACTACACCTTCCGTCCTGACTTATCTGACTTCCTAGATATCTAAAATCAGTCACTTCTTCTAATTTTTCGTCTTCTATCTTTATTTTCGCTCTTTCACTACTTTTACTTCCTTTGCATACCAGTATTTTAGTCTTACTTTTATTTATTTTCATACAATGCTGATGGTTTTTTTACAGTTTTTAATGTACAATTTTTATCCAGCAATACGAATATACTACCACGCCAATTGGTTTTAGGAAGTAAAACATCAAAAATGGTCCCGTCAGTTTTTTAAATAATGTTTAAGCATTGTAATTTGGAATCTTGTCTCGTTTTCCGCATGTATCTCGAAAATTGGCAGAATAATTGTAATAGTCCAAAAAATCAATGTACAGCGAATTGCAAGGCCTGTAAAATTAAATTTAGAGCCCTCGATCAGAGCTATTCTCACAAAGAAAAATATAAAACCCGTTTGAAAAGTAGTCATTTTTCAGAAATTTAGAAGTTCGATAAATTACTATTTTTACCATCGGTCTTCCAGTAAAAAGTAGTAATTGTTGTACATAATAAGTGATTCTCCTCTGCCTTGGTTTTCTTTCTTCATACGAAGAAGCAAAGTTTGCAAACGTTCATTAGCTATTTACAAATATTTAAAGAAAACAAGTAGTGAGCGTGTACACGCATAAGAATTGAAACTTCTTTAGATTGTATATTATAACAGAATTTTTAAAAAACAGTGACTTAAACTATTGCATTAACCAATTACTAAATACCTGAAAAATACAACTTTATTTCGGGGGGACAAATGCGGAATATTGGTTTAATTTTGTTAAAAACTTCTACGTTTGATACAACACTACAGATTAGTTACAAATCAAAACAAACACAAACGCATATACTATATATATATACAGTACAACGTAAGATTTTTCATTCGGATCAGTAATATTTGCTGGATAGTTTGTGAATTATTACCAGGCGAACGCATACAAATTTCTCAATTAACCGTCTTTTATTGTCAAATATATGTGCTTATGCTACAATGGTAACATCGAAAAATTCAAAGGCTAGTTACCCATATATTTTCCTCTGATATATAAATAGTTAATGTGGTTAATAAAAGAGGAGTGAGGTTAAGAAACAATTGACCTATTTGAAGCAAGAAACAATATTTCTTTAATTACTGTTCTTCCTGTCTTTTCTTTACCTTTCAGGAATCGCTCAATTACAATGGGCACTTAATTTCTTAGAGGGCATATACGATGAAAACAGTGTACATCCACAAGACGTAGCGATTTGCATTGAAGCAATTCAAGAAGAATTAATTCAGGAATATGCTCAAATAGCGGATGTCATAAAAGAAGGTGAAACATCTCAAGCTGCAGAAACTGCAGAAGGTGGAAAACCACAAGCAGCAGAGGGCGATTTGGAAGTATGCGAGGAGGAGCCGGAGAAACTGCCATTTTCAGTTAATTATGAGGAAATGTCGAAAAATCTCCCTAGCCGTATTGGACAATTTTTGTCGTTTAGAAAGCCATCAATAGTTCTTACTGGCGAAGAAATGGACATGGAAATAGAAAAAATTAATGAAACCTACAACGAATGTACAAAGCTTGGCAAAAGTAAGCCTTTTTGGAGATTACTACTACTACTACTGCTTACACCATGTACTATCTACATATCTACATACATATAGATATACATATATACATTATAATATGTCTATATGCAAATGAACTTGCAAATAAAATTTTTTCCGTTATAGCATTCTATAAAAGTAGAAGTAATATTATAGTATTATAGTTCGGCCGAATGAAGTCCTTATTAGTAAATTTAGTAGGCTACTAATAGTACTGAGTTAAGTAGTTGAGCGGGCCACTTCATGGTTACTAAGAAGTTTTTCTTATGTCGTCATTTTGTCATATAAAATTTCGAAACAGTAAACAAAAAAAATTGAAATAAAGAGTGAATTTATTATTATCTACATAAAAATTACGTACTTATAAAAAATGAACGAATGTAATTTTATTATTGTACAATATAAGTACAATGACGCCGCCTGGGACATGTTCATAAACAAATAGGTTATGACACTACTAAGTAGTAAAAGAAGTAAATGCGTTCAGGCAGAAATCCGCAGCGCTCAAAATTTTATTTACTGACTAACTTACTAAGTTTACTAAGGACTTAGTTCAGCCAAATACGTCCAATGTCAATGGATTGTTATATTTATATTTTTTATATTTTTCGACCACTTGTAGGATTTAACGTCTCTTCTTATGACCTATGCCAAAAAGTAACTTTTTTACGGACTTATAGGAAATTCGTTTTTTGAAAATAACTCCGAACTAGTCCACCCAACCTCATAAATTTATTTAATTTTGTTAAAAATGAAATTTCTCATTTTTTTTACATAAACATTTTTTGTGACAAGTTACAGCGGCGAAAAATGAAGATTTTGTAATTTTTTCTTTTTTAATCAAAGGCTTTCAGTCTAAGTGCTCTAAAAATTATTAAATTAAATTATGCTAATGAATGTTCAACTTATTATTATTGTATAGTATAGAAATAGATAAAGAGTATGTGCTAATGCTAATTATTCTATTTAATTTTATCTAACGAAAAAATAGAATGTCATAAAGTATCAACGAGATCCGTACTCTTCAAACACTCATTTAAAAAACGTTCTGCATTTATTAGTTTCTCGTTATTTAATAGTAATTCGGTTTCTTAAACAGCATATTCTCTTTTATAGAATGTCCACTTTATTCGAGGGATAGCCTAATGGATTTCCTAAAATCGTGGCGAAAAGAACAAATTGAAAAAATACAAGTGGAAATTAAGAGATTACAATCAATTGAATCGTTTCTTTGCAATGCGGATAATGCTGAATTTCCTCCTCTGGATGATATTTTGAAATCGGAATGTAAAGATGAGGGAAAAGAAGAGTAGCACTGATTTGAATTACAAATTGGTTAAGTTCGCTTAAGTTTCTGTTTTTAGCAGATACTTGACCATAAAACTTCTACTATTTAACTTGTAAAAATAAAAAAGGGAAAAATAATTATTTGTAACCAAATATTTTAAAAACAATTACAAGAAGGACAATTAAATGTATCTATTGATAAAATAAAACGAAAATTCTTTCAAACCAAATGCGCTATTAAGTAATGTCTATTCAAAAACTCGACAAACGCATCGGGCATTGTTCATTATCAAGAGAGCGACAATTGGAATTTAATAATGTCGAGTTTTTGAACAAATTAGTAAACATTATCTTCGTTTAGATTCATTTATACAGGTTATAAAGAAACAGGTGTGTAGCTTTAGAGGGTGTAAACAATAATGTTAAATCGGATGGTTAACTCGACAGCGTGGCTAAGGGAAAACACAACAAATTACAATTCAAAGCCAGTCTTATGCGTGAATTGACAACATGGTGTGCAATGCGATAAAAACCGCAGCTACATCGATAGAGGATGAAATGAGCTGTGCCGGTTATTGAACGTCTAACTGTAACATAATATATTGTAGAGAGCACGAGTGTGTTTGTGTGCGATCGGGCACACGTGTGCGTGTACAGCTTATCGATACGCCGACTAGCCGCGGGCACCTTTCTTCATGTGCGCCGTATTTGTAAATGGGTGTGTCGTACCTGCGTTCTAGGAAAGCAGTTAAACAGTTCAACGAAAAAATAAACTATCCGGATGTTTCCAGAAAGTTGCCGAAATTAAACAAAAGAGTTTTTAAAGGAAGAGACGATCTCCGAGAAGAAGTAGAAATAAATTGACCGTTCCAGAAATAAATTGACAGTGATAGCAGTGAAATAAATAGCTCAGTGAATAGTGATACATCAACAGTAGTGTAAATAAATAGAATAATTCATAACCTAAGTTTAGTAATAATTTAATAGTGTTTTTAAGTTCTTCAATAATTAGTGTAAATAAATAGTTTTTGTCATTATCAGTATTAGAAGTTAATTTTGTTAAACCCACGGACATTACAATATACACAATGTTTAGACGCCTATTATGATAACAGTGAATTAAATAAATAGATACATTTATTTGTTGCTGATAGCATGCGTCGCTATGTAAATTACACCTCAGCATGTATATTAAGAACACAAAAAAAAGCAAAAAAATTTTAATATACTTGACCACAGGAGCAAAATTTTCGTTATAATCAATTTCTTGGACTTGATCGAATCCTCGAGCAATCACAGGTACCTTCAAACTTCCATTATTTTTCTCACATAAAACCCACCTGCATGGGAGAAGTTTTTAACCTTTAGGTGAGTTTTCCAATTCCCACTCTCATCAGGTTTAGTGCATCAATTTCATCTTACATTGCTTTCTTCCAGCCATCATCTCTCAACGCATTTTTCACTCATATACCTTCTACTTCTCCAACCATAGCAAATTCATCATATCTGCTCAGTAGTTTTATATTCTGTCGATTCCTTAAAATGTATCTTGGCATTTCTTCACTTTCTTCTTGACTTGACTCTAACTGGTCGGTCTCACAGCTTGTAAAATGCTCCTCCTCAGTCTGTTCGCTTATTTAGATCCCATTTTAAGCTTATATGACCCTTTAACATTATTTTCTCTGACCTGCCTTGATTCACTTGCTTTGCAGTCCAGCTCTATATATCTACTCATGCTCAACACCAATTTGTTTATGAAATAATACATTGCATGACAATTCTACATGTCGTTCATTTAGCAGGTGAATTCAATATCCATGTTCTTCCACATCAGTGGCTTATTATGTGTTAGTTTTAGTGGATGATTTTTCCAAACATATGCGTAGAAACGAGCTAATACTTTAACTATTTTTAACAAATTAAAGACGGATTATTTCATTAGGATTGGAAAACGAAAGGAAATATTACAGGACAATGAGAATTAATTTTAGATCAGGTGGGAAAAATTATTAGAAAATAAAGTATAAAGACGATTTTTACTACATTTTATCATCCCCAAGGGAATATGACTAATTAAGAGGGTCAATAAGGAAGTTGTTTTATCATTTTCTTGGTCAGCTTCAAAAGTTTTTAGGTTTTTTGCATCTTTTAATCTTTTTTCTTTAGTGTTTTTTAGTTTCTTTTGTTTATTTATCGTATTGCTGATTCTTCCTTTTTCTTTCTATTTTCTTTTATTCTTTTTCTTCTTAGTTAATTTTTTCCGATGTGCTGGTGAAAATGACTGTTTTTTTAACTGGCCTTTTGTTTCTATTAGACTGTAGAGGTGATACCATTTCTATGTCAGTAAGTGGTACTGAGTAAGATTGGTTTTTTTTATTTGTCATATGAAATCAGAATTCATCATCCATGCGTACTTCTTTCGCAGGTATTATTTGGTTTAACGTTAACAAAAAGTTGCTAGAGAGTTGAGACGTTTCTTGAGATCCTGTTTGAGTTAAAATACTATTATCTCAGATAAGTTAAGATTCATTATGGGATACTGTTGGAATTAAATAATCAACATTAGTGTTTCTGTTGTCAAGGGGAGTTTCCGGCGCAACAAAACTTGCGAAAGTGCCTTTGAATTTATCCGGATCGACTGGGTAAATTCTAGCAGAGCTGAAGCAATTTATAACTTAATCTTTGCTTATTGTTCGGTTAAAAGCTTTTGTATAAAGATCTACGACATCTTATGCTGTAATTTTAGCTCCAGGATTGCTGACCATTAAGGATTCACATTTTCTATTGTTTGCAGTTTTTAATAGTCAGGGAAGGTTAAGTCTAACGGCTGCATTATGTGCGATCCATGTTAGAAATATATCTACAACAAACTACGTTTTTGTACAATAATCAACAATTTTTGACAACTTTTTTTCATAAAAATTTGTAGAGTTGTAACTCATAATTACAAAATTCTACAACTTTCTACGAAAAATTGAAACTCATTTTTTTCCCGCGTCATAAATTGTAGAACGTTGGTAATAAACAAAAATTTTCAACAATAAATAATAACTTACTATGCAAAAACATTAATTTTCAATTGAAAAACGTAATTTGTTGTAGTTCCTCATGAAATACTACAACATTCAATGATATTCTAAATATACGCTAAAAATTAGATCAAAATATATAAATATATTTACCTTAAAAACCAAGCACAGTCGTCCGTCGTCAATGTTTGTTACGCACTAAAAATGGCGAAATGTAACACGTTATCGCAGCGGCCGCGCGCGATAGAAAGGGATTGAGTAGATATCTGTTAGTCCGCATTTACCCCGCGTTCGCAATTCTCCCCATCGTTCCCTACTTTTCACTTTGACTTTTTACAATAAAAGTTCATTCGGGCCGTTCCTCAATAGGTAAATAAAAACTGGCCGATAAGTTTATAAGACATATTTTTTATTGATTATAAACGCCACATCCTCTATAGCTGGTTATGCAGGACCGTCAGCTCTGGCATATTTTGAGCAGTGGTCATTTAACTATAGACCTAAATTTGTATACAATGAGTTCTATTCTACTCTAAAAGCTTAAACCACCCTGCGCCCCTCTTAAACGATCATTGGGTTATTTCTCCGCTCTCTTATTTAATAACAATGAAAGAAATATATTGTTCTTCGTGTCATTTTAAGAAGATAGTTTATAAACATATAGAGGGATGTAAGCTAATATATCTAATTTTTTGTTTAAGAAATCAAATTTGTTTAATTTGAAACACTATAAAAAGAAAAACAGAATTGCAAGATACTGAGTACGCGCCATAGCGGGCACAACGATGTACTAATACATTAAAAGGTTTATTTAAAAATTGCTAGATACGTTTACTTTTATTTCCAAGATATTTTTAGTTACTAAAAAAGTTGTTAAGTGTTAAATGTAACACTTATCTTTAAATAACAATACAGCTTCACCTCATTTTGTCTACGGGGCATCCTTGTATTATTAAATAAACAGAAAAAAAAAACATCAGATTTCATGATCCTTCATTTGCAATCAACTGCTCACACTAAAACGACATTATAAAAGCATAAGCAATAGATGTAGGTTTGGATTTTGAAACTAATGATCTAATTCCAGCAAATATAACGGCTTGTTGCTTAATTCTACAAGACCGGATGGTTCGTTACAACACTGTTACCAACATCACCAATATTGTAATCGGATGTGCAACGTTTTAAGACAGAACGTAACACCATATTTAAGAAATTTGCTTTCAGTAAGATAAGCAATGATGCACATTTTTCCCAGCATTTCTTTGATGACAACTTACACCCCATTATGTGAATCAGAATGGATGGCCTATCTGAAATTATGATGAGTTCGAATGGAATCATCATCATCAAACAATTAGTGAAATAGGGAATGCTTTAAGCAATTCGATGGTTATACATGTCAAAGATGTGAAGAAACGGAGGTGGATGTCGAAAGAATTTCCCCATCTGCAAAACATTATCAACTTAAAGGGGATTTAAAATGCCCGCCCTTAACAAAATTCGCAGATTATACAGCCACTTTAGTTTGCACCTATCATTTTTTGCTACATGATTCGCACTAGAATAGCGTATTAGAAAACGTTTCCGTTCCTAAAAATTAGTTACTCAAACATTAAGAATATTTATATACTATTGAAATAAATACAATAAATGCTTTTTCCGCTCTCCTTTTTACTTACGAGTAATAATAGGGAACAATATAAACATTTCAACATAATAAACTGAGACAGTAGCCAGTTATCAGCAACATAGTTAAGAGCAGTATTTAATCGCGGTTATAGAATTTTGTTACACTTCTATGATAATAAATATATGTTACCACAAAAAATAAAATTTGAATTTTTTAGAATTTGAAGATTCTTTTTCGGAATACAATATTACTAACTACAATCACATTTCGCATGGCGTAATTTTGGGAGTGGCTACCAGTGGAAATAAAATTGCTATATAAAGATACTTATGAATATTTTTATTAATAAAAAAAAAAAAAGAAAAAAAACGTTTTATGATCTAGTAGTCCATCAATTACACCCTCCTCGTCATTTTGAAACAGATCATGTAGTTTGGGGTTGTTATTCATCGCACAATGTTTTTTTTTACACATTTCCAGAATCAACTAGCACGTGTGCATGTAGCATGATAGTTAAAGTTTACTAATCCAACTCTCCGCCAACGACAGATGCTGAAAGCGTATGACATTGAAACCGATCAATGACACTACTCCTCATTTTGTAATAGAACCGGCCAAAACACACTACTATTTATTTCATACAAGTATAAACGATAGCGCAGCATACCAACATTAAAAATTAAAAACAGTTCTTAAATCTACTTTATTCTATTAATTCAGATTTGAAATTAAAAAAGGATCTTCAACTCTTCGAAAAACTGCTAAAAACTTATCCCCTTGGGTGCGAGTAACTTTCTTTCCTTCTTCAGAACTATCATACAATTTCTCGACAATAGGATCACTCTCCTGGAATTTAAACAATTATTTTTATATCAAACTCTCACGCAACCACTTAATTATTGAATAAAATTCAATTACTGCTACATTTGTTACTTCATTTAATTAAATTATTCAAAATTGTTAGAATAGTTAATCATTAACTACATACATATAAATAAAATTGTAGTACCAAAATAGCTGCCTTTTTTTAAGCTCAAGTGGTTATTTGTAAGCTATTAAGACACAAACGACCTTTAAGAAGCATTTCGTCTATCTTCAAAACGACTGAACTGATTTCATTAAAAAGTTACGTACACAAAAAGGAGGATCTTTGAAACGGCTGAACTGATTTAAATAGGGCTTCTTTTCTCACGCGAACGAAATCGCGAATAAAACCTAGTTTAAAATATTTGAAAATGAATTCATACCAATTCTAATGGTTCTATTTGTTGAAATAACGAATGATCTGTAAAATGTTTAACAATCCATTCATGTAAATCTTTAACATCTGTAATTGTATACACTATCCCACCAACTGATAAAACGTAGGCATATTCTGCTAATAAATTTTTATTTATTATCCTCCATTTATATTTCGCCTTCTTAAAATGAGGATCTGGATATAAAAAGAACAATTTTTCTAACTAAAATAATACAGAAAAATATTAATGATGACGGTCGATAAAGCTCTACAGATTTACCTGTCCTTTTCTAAAATAGTTTGGTAAATATTTCATTGCATTTGTTCTTAAACAAGCTATATTTTGAAAACAGCCTGGTTGTGCCTTTCGTAATGCATGTATTCTATCTATTACATAATCTGAAACTTTAACACGAATTTCTACACCTAAAATTAATCTTTGAGGAAACATAGGTGAAATTGTTACTAAAAGTCCACCATATCCGCAACCTATATCAAGGAATTTAACTGTTCGTTCTTCATTAATATGTATTTCAGGATAATATTGAGACCAATTTACCTCAAGAGGATTTTTTGGGCTAAAATTAGTAATATTTATCCTAATTAACAAGAAATACAATCATACTTATTAACATTATTTTGCTTACTAGGTCAAACAGTGATCTGCAATTGGATTTGCATGTGCTCTTTGTCGATAATACTTTTTTTGAGGATAAACCATTTTTTTAAATCCACGAGGTTTGCGTTCATGTGTATCCAGCATCCAATGGTATTATACATTTAATTTTTATTGTTGTACATGATAAATAATAATATCAACCTATTCATCCATCACCCGTCCCATACCATCCAACATAACCTAAATGAAAGCCATAGATAATAGATACAGCTACGTGTGTGGCTACGAACCCATTAATAATACCTACTAACCATAAATACTAAATAAGAATAATGGTGCTGCAAAATGTATTTACTTTTAGACTTTCCTTGATAAAATATGTTAAGTGTGAAATTTCCCAATAATAAAAATGACTAATTTACAAAGGTGTGAAGGCATAGAAGAGCCTATCATAATTTTTTTTTGAAATTTCGACTTACAGCTTAAAAATTCGAATTCCAACTCTATATTTCGGCTAACCACTGAAACTTTTGACCATAGATAAGCCTTGAAATTGCATCTATTATTTATGTGTTGGGCGCATGTTGGGCGTTATTTTTAATCTATGAGTTTATTCGAATTTTGACTTTTGGACTAATCTATGACTATTGGACTATTATCTATGGCTATGGATTTGAGTTACTGATATGGTTGTTGATGATTTGTATGATACTTGCATGGTACGAATTTGATGATTTAACTAACTTCAACGATTTATTATTCTTGGCGCTCACGGGCCTACCAATGCAAAAATTCTCTTCGAGGTGACGATTTCTTTTTAGTAATGGAATTTTAAAATGCATTCAAATGAAAATTGTCCCGAAGTATATCACGAAAAACAGGTTAAGGAATTATGTGCTTTACATGCTTTAAACAATTTATTTCAAATGAAAGATTATTTTTCCAAAGTGGATTTTGATAATATTTGTTACTCTTTATCACCTAATGTTTGGATAAATCCTCATAGGTCAATATTTGGTTTAGGAAATTATGACGTGAATGTTATAATGAAAGCTTTACAAACTAAAGGGTATGAAGCAATTTGGTTTGATAGACGAAAGTAAGATTGTGTTTTATCACTACTTTATAACAATGTTATAAGCTTATTTCTGTAATACAAGAAATGGTTATTGTAGGGATCCTTCTTGTTTAATTCATAGTAATATTTTTGGATATATATTGAATATTCCAACTGATTTAAAATTTGGATTGATTACTCTTCCTGTATATCGTAGACATTGGATAGCAATAAGGAAAGTTCATAATGTCTTTTATAACTTAGACTCTAAATTGCAAACACCAAAAGTAATTGGATTGGTAAGATAAACTATAAAAATAGTTACTTATTATTTTATTATAAAACTTATATACATGTTATCGATAATATGCACAAAACCAAGTAATTTGCAGGTTCCCTAGTTAGCCTGCATATTAACTGAACAAGTTTTAAAATGTGGAGGGTTAGTCAAGATTGCCTATCTAGCTAGTTATTATACGTTAGGTTCCTAGGGTAGGAATAGCAATATTAGGGAGATGTTTAGTCTCATTAAAATATAAAATTTTAAAATTACAATTAAAATAGGTAATGGACTTTGAAACCATAGTTTGTAGAAAAGTACATTTTACACACCTACAATGCTAAAATAAAGAATGCTCCACATCACATGTGTATTGTTGCCTTGGAGCATTAATACCTCCAGGCAGCATCTTACCTTTTTTACATAATGTTTTTTGTTTAATATGAGACTTTTTAACTTGGAAGATAATTAGTTACTTTTTTTTTGAATTGTTACTAGGTATCTTAATTAGTTTAATTATTATATCACAAAAATTGTTTAACAAGTTTAATGCATTACTCTACGAACTCCCCCAGGCTGCAATCTCATAAACATCTGTAAAAAAATAATTCATAGTGATTATTAAAAGATTTTTTTGACCATAAAAGCCTTTAATTTGAAAAAATGAAAAATAAATACTTCGTTCTCTAGACATGTTGTTAACATGGCATTTCAATTTCATATCTGAGTTAAATAAGATCCCAAGGTAGAAAGTATATTCAACTTTGGTTATTCCATGACCCTCACACACTATAGGTACCGTAGGTTTAATATCTTTACTTATTTTTGACCCAACAAAGTTCCGTAGTTTTTTGCTGTTATTATAACTTGAAACAAAATTAAAACTAGAAACTTCTTTCTTCTATTTGAAATGTAGAATTTTTTGTTTTACAAGGTTTAATTATCCCTTGCGTTGTGAAGTTACATTTTGGTTTACTTACCATTTTATTAGTTATCTTGTTCTGATAATATCTATTTATCAATGTCCTTATTCTAATAAGAATATCTACACATTCATTAGTATCCTTTTTATCGTATAATTCCATATTATCTTGTTAGCTAACTTCCGAAATTTCTTGTAATTGATTGGGTTCTTACTGAATTCAAAGTTTGTCAAATTATTATTCCGAACATTACTTAATTTGAATGTTTGTTTGCATGAGTATCAAGATTTTTAAACTGCATGAGAATTTACCAATACATGAACTTTTGGTCATCTTTAAGTCTAATTTTTGAGTAAAAACATGGTGTGTATTGTTCTTCTGTTATTTTTTATTATTTATTTATTTTATCTAACGCTACGCGAGTATAGCGTCAAGGAAAACGGAACATTAGTCCATAGTCCCTTTAGCTTTAACGGTTTTGAAGATGTTAATAATCAGTATGCAGATTAACTAGGAAAAGTTCATATTTTGTACTTTAGCAGAACAGACTAAATTAACTCGTTAATTTACATATTAACGATAACAAAAAAAGTTAATATATGTATTACTCTTACATTATACATACAATTTTTTAAACATTCACGTCTCTGACCTTTGATTTGACTTTATTTTTATTTTTTTTAAAGACATTATACCGATAAAGACATTAATCGCATTATTGTACAAGTCATTGAAGGTTTTAAAAATTAGTTGGCAAACCCAGATTAACTTGTATTTTCCTTGATATAATTAAAAATTGGTAACTGCATTAAAGGCATTAACTATCGAAGGGATTATTTTGTGAACAACTCAATTTTGTTTGTATTTTTTCGTGAGTTAAAGATCGTTCCCCGCGGTTTCACCGTACAAAAATCCCAGTAATTTGGTTTTGTTTAAATGTTTTAGGAGTCTGACCTTAACAAATTCTTAAAAAAGGAACTTGAAAACGAGGATAATCAACTGTTTGTTGTGGTAACTAACGAAGTTGGAGAAAAGCAAAGTTGGTGTAATTAAAACATTTCGTTTCTTCATTGGCACAGTAAACAACTTAACATGCTAAAATTGGAAAGATTTATGGTATATCATACTTTTCCACATTAATTTTAACATACGTATTTTATTGTTAAGAACATAAAGTAATATATATTTTATTTTCTATTCGCCAATCGTCAAATGTTTTCAAAAGAAACTACTTCCTGTGGTTTAGATATTTATTTATTCCAAAAAATGCCGTAACTGCTTTAACGTTGTCCTTTCATTTTTTATAATCATGTACCAGTTACTAATATGTAGGTAATATGTGATATAAGTCTTAGACTCAGTCTCGTAAATATTTCATGTAATACCTACATGCTTAACACTAGAAACACGAAAAGATCGACTGAAATGCTCATTATGGTTCACGGTAATTTGTCTAACAAATACCTAGAGCTTCCCCCTTCTCCTTTTTGTTGGCATAGTGATCGCATAATTATTAACTATGTTCATCTTTTACCTGAAGGTATCAAAATGCAGAGAAGGTTGTCCAAAATTTTAACACTTTGCACCTAATCTTACCTGAAATATTTACGGGATATGGACAAATTTGTCACTTCGTAAATATTTCATATATTTATGGGATATCGATAAATTTGTCATTCCGTAAATATTTCATGTACGATTAGGTAGAGAGTGAAGAAACGTAGCTAATTAAGAATTATGTGATCATTATGTCAGCAAAAAGAAGAAGCGGGAAGTTCTAGTTATTTGACAAACCACCGTGGGCCACCACGAGAAGTATAGTCGCTTTTTTAGTGTTTTTAATGTGTTCGGCATCTAGATCATAATATAGGTATTACAAATAATACTTATAAGGATCTTTCAAAATGGTTTTTCTAAATGTTTGTCTTTTGATGCCTAACACTAAGCTTCCACCAACGGTGCTGGGTTCCCTCTGGTAGGGAAATTCGAATACTTTTTAAGAGTACCATAGGTATTACGCTTTCTGAAAAATTTAAAAAAAATAGAATTATCCATTTAACGTGTAAAATTTAACGAAAAGGACAAAGTGTGCAGTACCTACCGGAATTAAAGAAAATTAAAAATACATGAAATTGTGGGCTAAAGCAATAAGACAATCAAAACAGAAGTACATAAACATTTATAGTGTTATTACTGTGACTAACAGAAAACCAAATTTTCATCAAAAATTACACATATTGAGGTAGTTTTACTGACCTATCTACAAGGTCTATCTTTCCATCACTACATGACGCGCTTCTCCTTTATAATTCTGACTTAGCTGGTGTAGTTTCCGTGTGCAATACATTGCACAGGAAGAAAAGTACGAATTAGATTCCTTAATAATAAATTTTTTAACCGGCTTAACCATAACGAAATTTAAGTGTAAATAGATGATACGTATGGTGCCCTCTATTCATACTATCTCGCCATCTCATTTTGGTCGATATTTTATTAATAAAATGGTCAATTTTAAAAAAACTACATAATCAGTATGATAATAAAATAATTTCTTTTACATAAATAAAATGTATAATTTGGCAACATTGAATGAGTAGGTACAGGAAAATCACGTTATACGATGGCTGCACCTATAGATAAGACCATCCTTTTGGGCACTGGGTTTTTTTGCTATGGCTATCTATGGTATTATGGTAGGTGTCATTCCTGTTATCTATGGTTTATGTTTATAACATAATTTGTTTGGACGTATAACATTTGAGGTCATGTTTGATGTGTCAAGCAAGTTTGGTGATAATTACGACCATATTTATATTACGACGTAGTTTTACGATTAGAAAATTTGATCGTGTTTTATTGTATATCGTAGTGGTTGCTGAAGAAAAATGGAGTATCAAGAATTGCATGTTATAGACGAACAATGCGTTGTAGTAAGTTTCAACTTAATTTTATTGGTTTTCCTAGTTTAACATTCCTCTTATTATAGAAAGTTGATCGAAAGTAAGTAATTACAAGTTAATTAACATTCAGTAGTAGTTGTAAAAGAATGAAAAATCAAGAAATTTTCTTGATTATAATTTTGAGATAACCTCATTACCTGTAATATTCCTTACCTAATCTACCTAATAAACAGTTTAGGTAATTTGTTGACTGATTTATTTATTCAATTCAAATTATTGATATCGTATAGTTTATAATTGAAAATGCAAAATTTTGAACACGAATAACCACCAAAACCTTGAAACATACCTGCACAATTAAATTTTTCGGTAATTTTTTACATTAGTTGACATTGGAATTGAGACATGAAGTTTAGTCAGGTAGGTAGTACTCACCAAGTGAAGTAGTGTAGTAGTATTTACTAGAATTTTGTTTATTATTTGTTTAAAAATGAATGTGAGTGAGATACAGGCCCTTAAAGTTTTCTTAATCGGAGGAAATACCGGTAGGTACGGCCCTGGCTTCAGCCTTCCGTCAGCTGTTCCCGCCAAACATCGTTTGTCCTAAAACATATCTTCCTAACATTATTCTAATGTATCAGCCCGCCTTCGGCGGGCAGGGGCATTAAACAAACTCGAGTCTGTCATACATCTACCTAACTAAACAATGACGTCATCAATGCATATTTGGCGAGAACAGCTGACGAAGGGCTGCAGCCAGGGCCGTACCAATCGAAATTTCCTCCGATTAAATAACTTTAGGAGCCTGTATCTCAAGCTACATTGGTTTCCGCACGGAATTAATGCTACCACACGATTCTACTTGGTCAGTACTACCTACCTGACTAAACTTCATGTCTCAATTCCAATGTCAACTAATGTAAAGAATTACCAATTTTTCTGATCGTGAGTAGTTGGTAAAGGTGCGTATATGTTTTTTGGTAATGTGTTTTATTATAAAAATTGCTTTTCTTCCTACATTTAATTAGGCGGATTTTCAATTAACCGAAAGACGTCAACAATTGCTTTGGTTAATTCAGTCCCCACTGTACTGCTCAGAAATATGTTGAGCATGTTCAAAGAATGAGATGCATAACATCTTAGCACAGAAATATTAAGAAATTTTCTGGTGAAAAAACAACTGATTATGATTTTAATTTACGAAAAAGCGCGAAAAATAAAAAAATACAAAAACAGTAGGAGCTCTGTGAAGTTGGAACCCCCAAATATGAAATTTTCTGATTAAAATGGTTCGTTTATCCAAGTTAAGCTAGGAAAGCCCCCGGATGGCTAAATCGATTATTCCAGCCTTCCGAACTATTATTCGTTTTGTCATCTTCAGCTATGTTGGCAGCATGTACATTCCAAGTTTGAGGTGGAAACTGTGGTGGAACATTTCAGATACGAATAGCTCTTTGCTAATTGCCAACGCTCTTGTATGATCCGGTTGCATACGTTCGATCAAAGTAATTGATGAGGTCGGTGTAAAAAAAACTTGGGTGTTTCATTCCCACCAGCCAGTAATGCTGGTGGGCGGGCAGTCCCTCCGGACTACGCCGGAAGGTAGGGCGGAAGGCCCTCTTCAGCGTGCTTTCAGGAATCGTGGGAATGAGTGGGTGGTGGTTCGGGTGAGAAAGATGAAACGGACGAAATGAAGACAGAAGAGAATGAAAGATTATCCGTGGAATATTACTGCTTCAGCATTTGCCTAAGTGATCCAAGGAAACCACAGAAAAACTTGGACCAAGGCAGACGGGCCCGAAATCGAACCGGCGTCCTCCCGAATGCTAAGCAATGGTCTAAACCTCTAGGCCATGCCGCTCGGTGAGGTCGGTGTATCTCTGTATCCAGGTGCCTTTTGAGAAACCCTGATTCCTTTATCGACTTTGTCCAGCGGCAAGAACGCCAGTCCGTCCAACATTTCGACAAAGGTACTTAACTTCTCATTGGTGAGATATTCATTCCGCATGCCCAGCTGTTGCAGTTGTCTATAGTTACTTTGGCAAAGATGAAAAAAGCAATTGTAATATCCTCTCCTAATACGGACTTTACGTCATTTATCTCTGCCTTTTCAAAATCGACGAAAATTTGTTCTGGATCCGGATATAACTTTCTGCGTTTACATTCTTTAACAAAATTGCGGAACATGGCCTCATAACTCGCTTCCGTTTTCTCTTGTAAAATTGAATAGGCCGCGGTTACAAAAGCTCCGAAACTCTTCACCGGGACAACGTATACCAACCGAAAAAGAGGCGGCGACAAAGCAAAGTTTTCGTCAATGTACCACGAAGGCGCATTGGAAAGACATTCTAGTTGCTTTGCTAGTAGTAGAGATTATAATCCTTCACTCATCCTCGTTAATTTTTGGATATTGCGATTGTTCACAAGCAAACACCGCTTCGGTTCTGGTCCAGTCGTCAACGTTCAATCTCCTGAAAAATACAATGTCAACGAATAATTAGCAAAGACTCTTTACTTTTCTTGGTTATTTTGAATAAAAATATTTTCACCTTCGATTGATAACTCCTCCGACGATATGGGGGCTTTGGGATTCCTAATCGTTTTATGGTTTCAAAGAGTAAGTATGTTTAAGATGCTCCTCCATTGGAATCCTGCTCTTGACGGAATTTGTCACTTTGGAAACCTCTTCAGCAAAAATTTGGGAAGATTTCGCCAATTTGTCTCTTATCCTTTCCTTCATTACCCTAACGGCCTTCATAGCATTAGTGGCTGGAGGGAATGAAATATCCAAAAGGTTTTTTTTAAGCATTCACAGTCTTGATGATGATGTAACAATCGAAGTAGGTGTCGATGCCTATTAAATGAATTTGTGAAACTTTATCAAGTTTTTTATTTATTTTAATATTTTAAAATGTTTGTTTCACCAAGTGATTTGCGAAAAATCCATCTGATATATTATCAGATTCAAAATGATAACAAAAAATGCAGTACCACTGAAGATGTCAGCCGCAAGTGCCGACGAAACGTCTGAACCTGAAAAATTCATTTGGATCACGGCTTTTCAGCCCGAATTATAATTTTTTCTCGTCAGTGTTGTGAAGATTGTTGCCTGCGATTTAATTGCTTGTTGGTTAGATTAGGATTCTGTTCGTTCTACATTTTGAAATCTCAACGTTGTCGGAACTAATATAAAACATCTTACAGCATTTAAAAACGTAGGCTTTTTCAAAAAATTCTTTAAAACTCGAAAACTATTATCGACAGGTATAGGGAATACTTATATCAATCGATGCAGAA